TGGGGTGAGAGAAGATAGAGAGATGATGGAGCTGGGGTCCTCAGCATGGCTTTCTCTCAACTTTGTGTGCTTGTGTGTGTGTGTGTGTGTGAGGAATGCCTGCAGGGGGGGTGGGGGCGGTAACAGTTATGGGTACTTTGTTGTTTCTAATGATGCGTGGCCTGCCTGCTGTACTGTGAAGTGTGTGGTTGTGGCTGTGGTTTGTACCAGAATGTTCAGTTGTGCGATTCAGCTGTCCAGACACGGGTTGTTCACCACACACACACACACAACCCCACACAACCCCCTCACACACACATACACATGCACACACACACGCACACACACGATAATGTGAGGTGCGATAAGTTCTGATGTAGTTGTGTAGCGTACTGTACTAATCTTGTGATGCCGAGTCTACTACACACATTACACGCATACGTTAACCCCGTGTGATGTTATGAACGACACGTGTATAACATACTACATACACACTCACCTTGTGACATTTTGAACGTGCTCACACACACACAACCGAAGACTGGGCCATCCATTTGTTTTGCCTCGTAGCCTTTCATCTGTCTGTTTCATGAAGTAGCTTTTATTCCAGTTCTGTAGTGTTCATCTCTGTCTCCGTACCCAATAATAATTATTTCATTCAAGCTTGATACGATTCATAATACTACTACTGCGTCTTTTTAATTAGTTACTTATTAAAACTTGTTTTGTTTTGTGTTTTTTCAGCTGTTCTTTGTTCATTTATAGGGAGGGGGTGGGGTGGGGGGGTAAGGGATTGTGGGTTGTGGCAGGAGTTAAAAACACCCTAAGGAGGTGGCACGTTGGTCGGCGCACCATGTGCGTTGTTCTTTCTCTATGTCGCGAGGCCCTGGGATAGACTTTTTATATATATGGCAAAAAGTTTCGGATTCCCTTTGTTGGTGGTGTCTCCGTGTCATACAGATGGCACGTTGGAGCAAAAGTGTCTGCGTGTCGTACAGATTCGTACAGATGACACATTGGAGCAAAAGTGTCTGTGTGTCATACAGATTCGTAGAGATGACACGTTGGAGCAAAAATGTCTGTGTCATACTCATACAGATTCGTACAGATGACACGTTGGAGCAAAAATGTCTGTGTCGTACAGATGACACATTGGCGCAAATGACATGTTGGAGCAAAAGTGTCTGTGTGTCATACAGAGTGTCTGTGCGCCGTACAGATGACACGTTGGAGCAAAAGTGTCTGCGTGTTGTACAGATGACACAGTGGAGCAAAAGTGTCTTGTGTGTTGTACAGAGAGAAAGATAGTAAGACAGACGAGACAAGAGCATGTCAAAGTTGCCTGTTTCGGAATGGGGGGGGGGATTTTTTGGACTTTTTTGGGGATTTGTTCTCCATGATACTTATGATGTCGCTGATGTGTATATTGTTGTCCCAGCTGTGTGCTCCTCCATGTTTTGTGTTCTGATGAATGAACGATCGGCAGGTGAAAAGTTTATATACCAATGTGCGTGTTTCTGCGTGTGTGTGAGTCTGTCTGTGTCCGGACCTACTACTTGGCGTCTCATCGCGCGTGTGTGCGTGCATGCGTGTGTGTGCTTGGCTTGGAGGGTGCGTCTCCTCGCTGGTGAGCCCTTGCTCCTCACTTTACTCACACCGGCTGCGAAGGCGTGCAGAGCAGAAGCGAACAGGCTGTCTCCCTCTCTCTGTCACTGGGTGATAAACTTGGAAATGTAATGTGTGCACGTCCTTTTTTTGGGTTTTTTTTGTGAA